CTATAGAGAGCTTTTAGCATTTAGAGCCTTCCTTTGGGGGGTGTGGAGCAAGCCACCTGAGTGTGGTCACCCCTCCCTCCCTTGCCAACTACTCCAGACTCCTTTAAATGCTATTAAACTAAAGTGATGCATGTGCTCTTCAAATCCACATGGGCCTGCCCCCATCAGATGTGCCAAAATCTTCCCCACCTCCACCTGGTTAGACGTCTTCCAGCTACTGAGGGTCTAACATTTACCTTTAGCTTATTACAAAAGGGTAGGCAAGAACTCTGCTGAGAATTAGGAGCTCAATTGAATATAATCCATGTTTGCAAATGCATGGTTTTGATCCACTATTGCATTTGCCTGGCCACAGTCTCAGATGGATAATCTATAAATCCAACAAGCCACACAGCACCTAGGCTGGGCTGACCAGGCCCTCCTAGGGCTGTTCAGCTGCTCGTCAGTTCTCTAACCATTTAATGGATGCTGGCAGAGTGTCACCACCCACACCCATAACAGTGGCCACTGAGGAGGTCAGGAGCACCCCACCCCAGTGGTGGCCTTGCCACTGGGAACCTGAGCATCAGAACCCTGTGGCAAGCAGCTCTCATCCTGGTACCTTTTATTTGCCTGCGGAGCCATAAAGTCTTGTAGCCTTCTAATATATCTGTACAAAACTCTCCAGAATCCCCTTGGTATGAGTCCAGTCAAACTGTCTGACTGAGGCAGTGAGACTACTCCCACCAAGAGGCTTTTAGTTTTTGGTTCCATGATCTGAAAATCTCCCTTTTGCATTTGTCTTGGTGGATAGATCTGGAATTTGTAGCATGTGCCCATTGTCGGTTCTGATGTTCTAGGCGCTCGAGGTCCTCCATATTCTGGGTGTATTCAGAAACCCATTTAGGCCTCCCTTACTCCACGTTTTTAATCTTAGCTTTAGTTCAATGTTGCTGGCACTTGGCCTTACTCCCCTGAATGCCTGTATTATCATAATTCACCCATAACCTTAAACACAGGCCCGCTCACAGGCTGTAGTTTACTCCTACTATTGATTCAGCTTATCCATCCTTCCCTAACATCCAGGTCGGCTGCTGACCTTGCATCACTGAAATTCAGCACAATAATGGTTCTGATCTTGCTGTAACTATAATTACATAACCAGCCTTTTCCTCCCAAATGCTTTTATCTCTGAATACTGCCTATCGTTACTCTCCCTCCCCCACCCACCCACCCACCCCTCCCAAAAAAAAGAACTGGTAGTGCTCAGCAGCTTCTTTTTGCTGTTTGTATACAGAGAAAGTGTCTCTTCTAGTGTCCATGGGGTCCATCAAGGTAAAATGCAGGTGTTGATCTTTATGTTGAACTCCCACTGAATGGGGGACTAGGTGATAGTAGCCTTATTTTTAGGGCAAATAACAGAAGGTACAAATTTAACCCAAAAGCTGAGGAATTTTCTCCCTGTGGCTCAGAGTGGGAACTGGATCAGAGATAGAAATAATAACCCAGATTTTTGCAATTAGGCACAAATGACGTTGTGCTTTGCAATTTACATACATTATCTCATGGAGTCATTGCTGCAGATATAAAAGTGAATATTATCAATATTATCTCTGTGTTACCCGACTGAAGCTGAAGGGCAGTGGACTCAAGGGCAATCCAGCTGCAAACACCCCTGCTTCTTCTGTGGTCCTGATAGCACGCTAAGGGGCAGGGCCCCAAGATGGAATATTATGCAGTTGTTAAAACTCATGTTCCTGACGGGGGGGAAATGGTTTCACTTGTGGTGTGATTGTGGCTTCTCCACAGTCCCCAGTGCTCCCAATAGGGCCAAGTCTCAGTGTGCAGAGGGGCCACAGCTTTCACAACAGGTTTCTAGCAGTATCCTTACCTCCCTGTTTAATTTCCCTATTCCTCTCCACTTCTTGGGGTTGCCTCCCTAATAAACTATTTAATCAGACCTGTCTTGGAGCTCACTAGAATCTTTAGGGCTCAAGCAGAAATATCCATAGAAGGGAAAGTGCCTTGTGTGGGACAGGGCTGCCAGTGCCTCTTCATGTGCTTGCTCTGTGAAGGTTCACAGAATCAGCATGCCCTTGTCTTGGTGTCACCCACTGTCCTGGTGCAGGCGCTCCAGCTTTTCCTCTTGCGCTAGCCTTCTCAAAGCAGGGTGGGTACTACCCCGCTGCTGTGGGGAAGCCAGGCTGCTCCTCCCAGGTTGTCTGTCCCCTCCAGACAGACCATCGGCCACAGAGTCTCCACTGCACTGCTGTGCTTAAGTCCCACCATAGCACCAGTTGTGCCTCTGGCTTGCTAAATGCTTCAAGATTCCTCCTGTACTTTCATAATCACCTTGAAAAATTCATGTTGAGTGGCCAAATTATTTTCCATTTTTCTCCCTTTTCTTCAGATCATCAGAATCCTATCATTTCAGAGCACAAAAGAACTATGGGAAATAGCAGGGTTTCCTGGGAAGAATTGGGACTCCAATGCCAAAGGACCACCTCCCTGTCCTCCAGTGTAAGGTGGATACACTGATATCTGCTCCCTGGAATGTCATGAGTTCTAACATGACAGATGTAAGGTGCCTTGGACATAGAGGCCCTGAAGAAGTAGGGCTGTTCCCATTAATAGTAGAGACAGGCAAGGAGAGATGACTTTCCCATTAAATTCCCAAATTCCGCAATTCACAAAAGATATGCCTTTGAACAAAAATCTCAGTTTCATCACGGGATTTTTAACTTCAGCAACAGAATAATCTGAGCAGAGACAAAATGTAACAAAGGTTGACAATATGAAAGCACATCTGTAATCACTGTGCTATTCCTTAAAGCAGTTGGTGTCTCACTAATTCAGACTCACTGGGCAAGAGGCAGTTTGAATCAGTGTAGAGTCTGAATCACACATGATTCCCCATGGAGTGAAGGAAGCTATGCTGGTGGAGTCACCTGGGAAGGAAGTGCATGGGGAGTCTGGGTGTCTAGTCAGCCTTGTGTTCACCGCCATGCCCAGGCCTCTGGGGTGTACCTGTACAAGGAGCTGTTGTCAGGTGGCTTCTGCTGCTTCTTGCTACCTTAGGCAGAGGCATGCACAAAGGAGAAATCTGTCCTGCCACTGTGCAAAATTATAAGATTACCCCACCCAGAAATTCAGTGTGTGCATAGTCGGGGCCCAAGCCCCAGACACAGGTGCGTTAGTCTGTTCTTGATGCAAACTTAAATGTCTGCTTTGTTAGGGATCTGTTGTCAAGGGATCTCAGGAGGCTTGGGATTGGGTTCATGTTACACCAATTGTCAGGTTCCCACTAGTCAAATAGGCAGGGAGAGGAGGTGGGAGGGAAGGTCTCGGAGAAGAGCTGGCAGAATCTCGGGACTGTCAGTCAACCGGTCCGTGAGCGGGAAAGGACAGCTTCAAGCAGGCACCCTTAGCAGAGGTGCAGGGCCTGCTGAGTCACATCCTGGAAGCACAGGGACAGCTGGTCACTGTGGCAGAGAGAAGAGACCATGCGTAGAAGGCAGAACCACAGCTGTAGTGGCTACTCAGGGTGTTCAGGTTCAGGGTTTTGCATACACCAGATCTACAAATAGCAGTCACCATGGACAGGGCAGTGTGTGTGGTGATGAGAGTGACTGGCAGTGACTAGGGAGTAAATGCCTGGGCACTCTCTCCTCTGGCCCGGGGTGTTTGGATAGATGGCAGTGCAGGAGCAGGGTCAGTGCCTGTGGAGCTTGACCAACATTGGGGCCGAAGGCAGACAGAAGGAGCAGAGACACTCACCAGACAAGACATGGCCGAGGAGAGAGGGGCTGAACGAGGGGTCAGGCAGGTGCTTTCTCTCTGTGGGCAGCCCTCCCAAACACAAGACACCCGAGAAGGCAAGAGCTGGTGGAGACAGAGTTCAGCTCTGTTGATCTAATTTCCCCCCATGAGTCCCCCTTGTTTGACTTGAACAGTTTGGCTGTCATTAATGTTTTCAGAGGCTGTAGCACCCCATCAGTTCTGCTTTTAATCAGAGTAGGAGCTTAGCAGCTGGACTAGCATGTCTGTGAGCAGAAAGAGGCTAAGCACTGCACCCTGGCTGGGTCTGCCAGTGGGCACTGCCTCTTCAAACTCTGGTGGAGAGGGCTTGGCATGGCCTGGTTGGAGAGATTTGATCATTAATGACTTCTTATCAGCCCTAGAACCTTGATACAATCAAGCAACATGAGAGACATTCAGAGCCCATAGACCCCTCCCTGGACTGATTAGCAGGCACCCTCCTGCTTCCTTGACAGGAGGAGGATTATTTACAGTGGAGCCCCCGGCTCAGAGCCACATGCCAGAGCTGCTAGGGGTGTGGAGGGCAGAGGAGAAGCAAGAACAAGGAGTCAACTGAAGGCAGTGGATGGTGGGGGTGTCAATCACACTCTGGGAGACTGGGGATTGTGGGCAGCTGGGCAGCAGGAAGATGAAAGAGAGGAAGGACCAGACACAGACATGAGAGCCAACGGCACTCAACCCACCATCTAGCCCTGCAGGCCACACTGTTGGAGAAATGTGCTTTAAAAAACCAGATGGAAGATACTGCTCTTAGCCCAGGAAGGGGAAGACCTATCTTCAAGAGGAGGGTGGAGTGGGGGACAGCAGCAGTGAGTAGTGAGTACTCTGCAGACCCCCATCAGAAACGCTCAACTTGCTGGCTTCCTGCCTCCTCCCAAGTCCTCCTGGCTTCCTCTGGGGTACCAGTGGCCATGGGAAGATGAAACTGGTTTCACATCCTGTTCCTGTGAAGAATGAAGAGGGAAACAAGTGTCATGGAAGATTAGCTGGTGCCCAGCCCTGCCTTATTCACCACCGTGGCTCTGATTTCCCCGGCCGTGTGCAAAGCATCTGCCTTTCAGATGCCGACTGAGGAGGGAGGACTCATAGAGAAACAAATGTCTGTCTGGGTTTCCAATCTAGAAGTGATTACAAGTGGGGGAAGATGGGCTTTTCTAGTGTGAGTGGAGAGATGACTCAGCCCCCCTACTGTCTCCCCTTAGGGTACCAGATTGCCTACCGCCTGGCCAGCAGCAGCCCTAACACATTCACCACTGTGGAGGTCGGTGCCACCGTGAGGCAATTCACGGCCACTGAATTGGCCCCAGAGTCAGCCTACATCTTCAGGCTGTCGGCCAAAACCAGGCAGGGCTGGGGGGAGCCACTGGAAGCCACGGTCATCACCACTGAGAAGAGAGGTAAGACTCTCATCCTGAATCTCACTGCCATGGTGGGAGTGGGAGGAGATGGGGGCTCGTAGGGAACCATGAACTTGGTGGGCAGGCTGCTGCCTTGGTCAGACCACCCTGCATAGCGGGCTCGGCATTAGCCACAGTCCCACTCTCAAAGGTAGACATGATTGTCCCAGGTTTAAAGATGAAGGTATATCTCATAGAGGGTGTTGTTCTAGCTCCGATGTTCAAAACCGGAGCCCTCACTGAGGTGCTCAGGAAGGAGGTTTTCCACGAGGCGGTCCTAATGGGAAGCCCATGAGCACCCCCTCTGTTCTGAGCCCTGGTGGTGGTGCTTGATATGTGCTATCTTGGTTTGTCCCCAACAAGGCCCAGGAAGAATGTGGTATGAGCCCCTGGTTGTATGGGAGAAGAAAGTGAGCCCAGATGGGTCATTTTCACAGGGTGCACAGCATGGGGCTGAAGTTTCACAGGGTGCACACAAGGGCTGTTCTTCCCACAAAAATCTGCTGCAGGTTTCTCTCCCAGCAGCCCACGGGCATGTCCTGGACCTCACTCAGGAGTCTGCCACAACAGACTAGCTTCCTCTAGGGCCAGAGCCACAGCACCTTTAACAGAAAATGCAGTTTTGACTAATTCTAGGTTCTGACATCACAGCTGGACCCAGAGATCTTAGGGGAAATGATAACAGGAAGGAGCCTGAGGGCACCCAGATGGGAAGGACTCAGAGCATATAATCTGTTCTGCGTCCCTTCTGAGACACCACATGCCCAGGCTTTGGAGCTGAACAACCTCAGGCAAAGATCTTCCCCTCTGTATGGCCTGCGGACTGTGTGGCGAGCATAGAGCACAGGACCATGGGAGCACTTGCTGTGCGCACTGACCAGTAGCCTGAGCGCAGTGCTCACTCAGTGTAAGCTGCCCTCCGTGTCTGCAGCATTGCATCACAGGCACCACAGCAGACAATTTAAGGGAGCTAGACAATTTGGGACAATTTAAGTTGAGCCCAAAACATCTGACAGACAATTTGTAGATCTGAAAAAAGACAAAGACATTCTGAGCCCTCCTGCCCTCTGATCAGTTTGAGAGGCACTGCCCTCCTCACCTCTAATTCTCACCAACAGAGCTGGGGTTTGTAGCCAAGGAAACTCATGGCCAGGGAGTGAAACAGCTGCTCTCACCGCATGGCTCAGACCAGGCCAGGAAAATGTTCACCTAGTCTGCTCAGATTTCTGGGTGGGAACCAGCTCCTTCCTGCTTTCTAAGGCCGAGACGTGGCCTTCCCTCTCTACCCCTCCTCGCCCACTCAGAACTGCACAGCCACTTAGGGCCCTTCCCTGCCCACTCCCTCTCCCAGCTCGCCCCTCCACACTCTCCCCACAGCTCTTTTGCCTCCTCCTGGACAGCATCCACCTGTACTGACCACCCCCCGGGTGGCTTCCACCGTGTCACCGGCTGACTTCAAACCATCAGTTTAAAAGTTTAAAAGGGAGACTATAACCAAGATGAAAATGCATGCATTGTACAAAAATGAAAAATGATGTAAAAAATATATAAAATAAAATAAAAATATTAAAAAAAAAAGCAACAGGGAGAGCTGCAAAGGCAGTCCCCCAAGCGGGTCCACCCCTCCGATGGCCAGCAGTGGGGAAGGCTGGCTTCACCTCTGTGGCTCAGGGCTCAGAATCTTCCAAGGGAAGACTTCAGCCTCTGAGGCCTGCTCGCCAGAACCAGCAAGCCTATTTCCTCATGATGATGATATGTTGCCTGCCTCAGAGCTGCAGTAGTTGTCAACAAGCCATGCTCTCCTGCTCCGCGGCCTGTAGACGGAGGAGGGGATGTTCCCATACCGTGCCCCTGTTAAAGTATAGACCTCATCCCCTATCCCGCGACCCACTCGGCAGCCCCACCCCACCCTGCATCTCCACCCCATCTGACTCTGCACCCCACCCCACACACTGCACCTCCACCCCATCCACACCACCTGCTTCTTAGGCCCATTGGGTTTAGATGTTGCCCCAGGCCCTCCACTCCTCACTCCTGCTCAGAGAGCAGAGGCCAAGAGAGCTTTGCCAGTTGCCCAGGAGGGGGCTTTGAGGCAGGGAAGGGGCTCAGGGCCATGGCTCCCGCCAAAGCGTCCCTTCAGGAGAAGGGTGCTGATTAAGTTAGATCGAAGCACTCCTCACAGGCCCGTCACTGCAGGGCCGGCAATCAATTGCTGCTTTATTACATGCCACACATTTTAATCAGAATCAATAATCTGCATGATAAACAATTAAACAATTATCCCTCCCCCATGGAGTTCCTTTACTGCAATCGATGGGTGAGGAGACTCAGAGATGGCAAACAGTTCACTGTCAGACTCTGGGCCCTGGCCCATGCCCCCCACTCTCAGTCCCACCACTGCCAGCACAGGGGACAGCATGGCACCAAGGACGAACTGAGATCGGTGTCACTAAAGTTTCAGGTTCAGTGGACGTCCAGGGGGAGGAAATCAGTGTTCAAGAGGCACTGAGCCCAGAATCCGATAACACCTCAGCTCACACCTGAGGCTTAGGAGACGCAGGTACCATTCAGAGATGCCCAAACTCGACAGTCGGGAGCCTGCGTCAGTTCGCCTCTGTCCATCTGTCTGTCTCTGCTCAGGAACAAGCAAGGTCTCCAGTCAGATCCACGCAGTGGCTCATCCCGAGTCAGCCCTAAGAGTACCTCACACCCCTGAGAACTCGCGGCCTCTCAGCTGCCCCTGGGCTGTCCTTGTTTGGTTGCAGAGCGTCCTGCACCCCCCAGAGAGCTCCTGGTACCCCAGGCAGACGTGACGGCTCGTAGTCTTCGGCTCCAGTGGGTCCCGGGCAGCGACGGGGCCTCTCCCATCCGGTACTTCACAGTGCAGTTGCGGGAGCTTCCCGGAGGAGACTGGCAGACCTATTCCTCGTCCGTCAGCCACGAGGCCACCGCCTGTGCCGTAGAAAGGTACTGAGAGCTGGGGGGACCCTTCCCGTGGGACTGGGCCCTGCCCATGGGGTCCCCGTTGCTGTGGCTCCCACCCACAGAGCATGGGTCTCATGGTGCAAGGAGACACAGCACAGAGACCTCCTGCTCCTCTTCCCACGGGCACCAGGGAGCCCAGAATTCCTGTGTCCTGCACCTGGGACCCACCCGAGCCTTTTCCAGGTGGCAACACCCAGCACGAGACCCCAGGCACTGACAAGCAGGGAGGGATGCTGGCCCTCATTTGCCTGGGTGTGTGGGCTCAGGTACCCTGCCCTCCAGAGGCAGATGATGGGGGGCAGGGAGGAGGGGGCTGCTGGTGTCCCAGGAGACATGCTCCTTCTCTCTGTGCTCTTTCCAAATAAGTGAGGCAGATAGGATCCACCCCAGTTAGTGATGCCTGATGGGGAAATAGAGGCCCCACCGAACAAGGTGAGAATCCCCCCATTTATCCAGTATTTAGTAGGCTCCTAGGCACAGAGTGGGAGGGGGACAGGCTGACAGCAGTGAGACATTTTGCAGGCATGTCTCCTCCATGGTCTTCCTTCAGCCCGTTGTGCAATTGAGGGGCAAACAGAGTGCAGGCTGAGAATCTAGACGGGCAGGTGGAAGAAGTGATCTCAGGTTGCCATGCTTACCACCCAGCCGGGCCTACACTGTCCCCATTATCCCTGGAAGAAGCCCCCCAGTCCATTAGCTTGCTGGGGAAGACCACCCTGATATTTTCACCATACTCTCATCTGGCCCTGATTTTAGTTACTGCGTATTAAGCAGCAATTAACTGGGTGTTACTGGGTGTGGGGAGGGACCTGTTTCTGTGGGTTCTGGAATCTTCATCAACTCCCTCATAGAAGCTGAGGGAGTGAAGACAGTGGTTTCTCAGACCGGCCAAGGTCCTTCACCTTTGAGACTCAAATACCTCTGATTCATACCTACCATGCCAGGCACCATGCTGGGAAATGTCACCTAGAGCAGCTGGTAGAATCCCCTCTGTGGCACGGTGAGGGGAGCTCATCTTCCCACTCTGTGATGAAAACCAAAGCTCAGAAAGGTCACCAGCCTGCCAGATGGGAGAGAGTATGCATCCTCCTGGGGGCGGCCCTCCCCATTGAGGCCCAGCGCAGCCCTGCACACTGCCACACCTGAGCCCCCATCCTCAACGACCCCTAGACCTAGTTCAGGCTTTGGAATCAGACTGAGGCTGAAGCGTGCATCCCAGAGGTGACCGCAGTGGGGTTTGGAGAAAGGAGGTGCTGCCCTCCCTGGTCTGAGGACCCAGCATGATGTGTGATGTGGGTGTGGTCAGCTCTGGGTAGCACAGGAAGATGTTGGTATCGCCAAAGATATTTTGAAGTCAGAACCATCCCACACTCATACCTGGATTCTGTCACTTGCCATTCAGATGGCCTTGGGGGGGTCTCCTCATCACTCATCTCTCAGTTGTTGTGTACTTTGGACATGGTATAAGGCACCCTGGGGCACCCACCTTCAGGCTACTTAGGCCATCCCGCATCTCCACTTCAGCTCCCAGACTTCATGCTCCTTTGGAAATAGCCTTGAGAGCCAGTTAGTGGCCAGGAAGGAAGGCAGTTGCTCACCTGCTTCTAGTTACAGCTGTCCTGTCAGGGTCCCCAAATGATGGACTGTGACCCCTCCGCCACAAGACCCAGGCAGCACTTAGCTCTGAATGAAATGGAGGTGAAGGGTCCCAAGCATAAGCATTGCCCCCCCCACCGCAGGACAGGGGGCACTCCTGGCTCCCATTTGAGGGGAGAGACATGTTCAGATACCTGACGTGTCTGCCATACACATTTGCTCAGATAGGTGTTTTGGGGAGTTCAAGGTAGAAAACCAGTTACAGTGAGTGCTACAGTGTAAACTCCTCAGCATGGAAGCCCATCTGTTGGGATGCTCGCTTCAGAGGTGATTTCCATAGTGACCTGGTCAAGTGGCTTCCAGATGTTTAAAGCTTTCCACTGAGCCTTCATTACTGTCATTGTCATCATTGTCTTCATCTCAGCATGATGCGATGTTCTGTCATTTTCAAAACAATTTCCATATGTTGTTCCCTGCAATATCCATAACAGCCCTGTGGTGCACAGACCACTTGTGACTAGACTTTCCATCAATCCCATGTTGCAGATGAGGAAGTGGAAGTAATGAGCTCATGTAGGTAATGATTACTTCTCCAAATGGAAGGAGAATCGAATCCCTTCGATTCGGTGTAGCATTAACTCTCCCTAGGCCCCTAACTCAAAGCTTCATGGAACAAACCATCACACAGTTCATTTATGAGGGTCTTTGAGATAATGGAGGAAAGGCATGTCATGTAAACAGCAGGTTGTTGGTAGTCTGTACCCATTAGTCACCATGTGGTCTGGGGAGAAGCCCACCGCATGAGCTTGCTAAGCCTCCATGTTCTCATCTGTGAGAGACAGGGCTAGAGGAATGGTCTCGTGATTCCACTTAACTCTGGGAGCTTAGAGCTGAGCTGCCTCAGTTACTGACAGCAGGGAGCTGGCAGCCAAGTAATAATGCATCCAAAAATAGTCAAACTCTGCCCCAGGTTCCCGCCAGCACTCACTTACCCTTGAGCGACAGCCCCAGGACCCAAGAGGACGGCTCTCAGCCCTTCGGGGGCAGCTCTCCTGTTTGTGGACTCCTCCCCAGAGCCCTGGATTCTCCTGGCATGACTCTGGGGGGTCAGGGGAGCTAGCCGACGAAGCCCAGCTAACTTGATAACCAACCTCAATAGCACTGGGCACTTAAAACTTAATTAGAATGTCCTCCCAGATATAAACAATGTCACCCCCTTTGTGTAACCATCTGAAAGAACAAAGAAAAATAAAATCCACTGCCTTTCCTGTCAGGGAGACCCTGAAATGAAACAGACCAGCTGTGTGCTTGGGACTTTACATTGGAAAGGAGAGGTCCATGTTTCAGGACAGACAGTTTAATTTGGTGTAGGAGAGACTGTTGTCAATTTCCTAATGGGCCAGAACTAGGACAAATGCTTCCTCTGCCTATCAATGGAAAATGTCACGGGCAGAATCCGGAAAAACGATATTCTGTACACTGTAGTGTGGTGTGATCTGCGGCATGTTTAGTAATCCTGATGACTGCATTTTCCCATTTTTTTGATGGCTGGATTTTTTTCATTGTATATTTTGTTTATGCAAGTTCCTTGAAATAAGCTAGTTGTCAAAAATAAAGAAAGCCCATAAAAGATGAACCATCTAAATCTTGTGACCATGCCTACATCTAGTGAGGATGGGTGGAGAGTACCAGGGAGGGCGTGGGTTTGAGGGACAGACTTCCACATTACCAGTTTCTGGTTGGTTGATGGTTGACGTTGTAAGTTGGGTAGCATCTCAAAGATGCAGCATAGTGGAAGCAAAGGGCTGCCACGTGGATAGTCTTGATGTCACTTCAGAGTAGAACAGTGTGGCGTGAGTTCCTGGTGTGTTGCATGTCAGTAATGGGGGATTCTGCTATCCTATGGATTGCCCACTGTGTCAGGTGCTGTGGACTCAAACCAAAAATACAAGGTCCAGCGAGGAGTTCCTGTAGCGTAAAACTACACTCAGGTCAACGTACTGACCCTGCCTCATGGGATCGTTTCTTTTGTTCATCGGTGTAATTTTAAAATAATGCCATATGGATAACCAGGTAACTTCGGCCAAGGGTTCCATGCTTTTTGTGGTGCTAATAATGAGTTCTTATTGACTGTTGTCAGCCCTTTAAATATAAATAAAGGTGGCGCAGGTAATTTTTTAAATGTTCAAGACTCATATACTTCATTATTCTAACCAAAGTGAATGAGTGAGTATATGGAGACTCTCCTATTTATTTATAAGACCTTCCATTTAACTCTGGGGGAAGTACAGTTCACTGTAAGCCATGCCCCCCTCCTGCCCCCAGAGTACTTGACTGTGCAGGTAAAATGTGTAGATAGGGGAAGAGGTTGACCATCCAAGGCAGGACAGGCCCTAGCTTGTTTTTGAATACCTGGTTCCTGACTTTGGATAGCAAGAATTTGGATAGCAGTTTGGGCAGTAAGAGTCCTGCATTATCCAAATCCATTCTTTTCCTGAGTTTTGGGATTGTTAGAGTTTCAATAATGGGTATTATCTCAAATATTTACCCAAATCTAGCCAGTTTCTGATTTTGGATGGCAGAAAGCTGGCAGATGAAGACTAAGGGAAGCTGCACAGAGCAAGGGTGGACTCCCGGGACAGAGCCAGATTAAAGCCTTTTTGGGGAAGGAAGGGAGAGTAATTTTTATTAATTGCCTACTGTGTGCCACGATCTGTCAGATTCCATGAGGGAGGGTTGTGCAAATTACTTTCACAATATCCCTGAGAAGTACATTTTGTAGATGAATAAAGTGAGATTCAGAAAAGCTAAGTGATTCACCCAGTTGAATCCAGGTGAGAAGTGGCAGGGCCTGGCCTTGAGTTCTGGTGTGGCTGACTCCAAAGCAGATGTTTGAGTCCACCTGAAGTGTAAACAGAATGCAGAACTGGGAGCACTAAAGGGGTTGAAGGAGAATATTCAGGATGGTTTGTTCCGGTGGCATCTCAGCGGTCCCCGAAATCCCGATCTGCCATGAGAGGAGCACCACAGGGCCAGGAGTGGATGGGGCCACAGTCAGCATCAAGAAATACCCATAGTCCAAGGGAGCAGCTCCCCAGAGTCATGAGGGGACTGGGTGAATAAGCAGAGGGTGCATCCGGGCCAGGAGACCAGGAGACTCAGAGACCATGGGAGGGCACCACCACCATTCACTGGCCATAAGCTGGTCTCTCCCTGCGCTGTCCTGACCTATTGTTGGTCAGTTTTAGGAAGCCTGGCCAGACTTCCTGCCTGAAAGGTAGACTCCTGCAGTCACTGGCCTTAGTTGTACCTGTGACTCCCAACAATTCATCCACCTTGCAAGCAAGCAAGTGAATGAGGTGCGCCTGGCCCAACATACATCTGATTTGAGAAACTCTGCTTCCTGTTTCCCTCTGCACACAGCCCCATCAGGGCCACCTCATTCCCTGTCTAACACACTGACCACACACCTACTGTGTGCCAGCTCCTCCAACCCCACAGGAGTGCAAAGAAAGAGTGATCGTCAGTGAGCTTCAAATGAACTTGATATTTGGGCTCAAATCCCAAAATCACTAGAGAACAGTGAATTACTAAATATGTGAAAATAATATGTGCCCAAAATGTTCTAAATAATAATGTCCTGAATAAATATGTGTTAACTATAGCAAGGTCATTTCTGGAGCATCTGCCATGTGTCAGACACTGCTGATTTTCACATGTCCTCTAACTCAACCTTCTCAAAAAATTTGGAGATGAATAATGCCCTTATTCATTCATTCAACAGATACTCACTGAGCACCCTAGATGCCCTTGGTGTTGCAGTAAATGAGACCAGCTTAGTCCCCATCCTCACAGAGTCCTGAGTCTTATAAGGAAGATAGTCATAAAAGAGACAATTAACTGCAAATTGTGATGAAAGAGATGAGGAAGCAGGCAGGGACAGGCTGTATGCCGCTACATGAAAGGGTGATCATGGCAGCTACTAAGTTGTCATCTCTCACTGTATGCCCATTTGCTCCCAAGGGGGTCTCCTGAAGTTAAGCCCAACAGCCACCTTACAATGTGTATTTTCATCAGTTCAGATAGGGAAGCTAGGGAATGTAATCAGCTCAAGCTTAGCTGAAAGTTAGAAACTGGGCACTTTGATTTCAGAGTTCACACTCCTAACAACTGTGTTGTACGAGCTCCTAATAAGAAAAGTAGAAGGAGCTAGCTCCCAAAAACATGGTGCATGAGGCAGGAAGTCAAAGGAGAAAAATGCATGGTTATCAACAAAATTAGCTAAAAATAACTTCTAGGACTCTAGGAACAAATAGGAAATTTTTTTTAACTTAATAAAGAGTATCTCCCAGAAACCTGTAATAAAATATTATTCTTAATGCTTAAGAAGCATCTCCTTTAAAGTTGGGACAAGGCAAGTTTCCCCTCTATCCAGAGAGACTGGGAGATTTGTCTGCAGCCACAGACTCATAAGTAGCAGGGTGAGATCAGGTTCTAGAGGGCTTCGAAGGGGAAGCAGCCCTTGAGGTGTTAGCTGATCAGGAACCCCTGCCATCTATCCTTCAGCAGGAGACAATATGAAAACAAGGATAGAAGAAATTTTTATATAATACTGGTTTCCAAAAATGGATATAGAATTTTTAAAAAGCAAGATGCTTTCTTTAAAAAAAATCCTTACCCAGAGCCAAATTAGAAACCAGATGGAAATGGATATGAAGAGTAAGGAGACCCTAGTCTTCCAGAGGATTCAACAGTGCTCAGTTTGAAAACCACTAGTTTATAGGTTTGATTGGGAATGAGGAGAGGGGGTTGGTTTTGAGGTGATGAGGGCTTTACTTAGGCTGGTAGTTGAGGAAACTTAAGAGATAGTTTGGACTTGAGGGACAGGGGAGGTAGAATCCAGAATCACTGCAGGTCTTGTGGTCTAGGAAGCCAAGAGGAATGCAAGCCATAATCTAGGGCAGACCTGCTGCTGGAGTGGGGGGCAGAGGTGGGGTAGAGATACAGTGATTTTATACCTGCTTATGTTGAAGTAACATGCAGGATGGCCAAGAGGAGCTGGCTGGACAGGTACTAAATAAGGGTGAGCATTTGGAAGTGCAGTTTTATGGGACTTGATGAAGATTTGAGCACTCTCTGTGCAGAACAGGTTGAACCCTTAATTTTAGGTGTGGCACACTTGGCACATGAGACCCAATAAATACAGCATAGCTCTATGGATAGGTGGAAGGAAGAACAGATGGATAGAAGAATGTAGGAAGGTGGGAAGAAGTAGGCCTGAGGTGGCGGCATTTAGCAGTGCCTCCGGGGAGCATTAATGTCCCTAAATCTCCATCAGTGAAGGGGGAAGTGTTCTTGGTCTTCTGTAGAGTGGAATGCAAATGTTGCTTCAAGACCCTGATTCCAATCTAAGCCAAGCCATTTACCAGTCCTCTGGCAGTGGACAAAGGACTTTATCTAAGTTGCCTGTATTTTCTCCTTCATAAGACAGAATGCCCCACAGAGCTCAGTGGGCTCATATTTGTCAAGTGCTGGCACCATTTTTACCTCAATAAATGGTGGAGGTGAGAGGTGGGTAGGGTTCTGACTACAGTCAGGCTCAGGCTGACCAGCACAGACCTCCACTGAGTACTAAGGAGTGAGTGAGAAGGTGAACTGGGGAGCACTCACTTTACATTGTAGACTAGAGCCAGGGCTGATGTAATTAGTCACCCTGAGAAATTCCCTGAGTTTCTCAGAGCAGTGATTTGCTGGGAGCCAGGATGTTCTGCTCTCTCCCATCTGGGAAGTTCTTCTCTCTAGGCAGGCCCTTCAGAGAGAGCTTGGCATCTGAGGGCCACTCCCTGGACAATATGGGAGGCCCCTAAACCTGACTCACTGCTGCCATGAGTGATTCATTCCACCTCGAAGAACCTCCTCTCCGCCCAGAAGAATCCCAGAGTGCATGGGGCAGGGAAGAATCCACCTCCCTTCTGGGGGCTTCACCCGGACCCCCAGGGTGGCCAGAGGGAAATCTCGGGCAGTCACAGGGCTCTGCATGTTTCAGGCTGAGGCCCTTCACTTCCTACAAGCTGCGCCTGAAAGCCACCAATGACATCGGGGACAGCGACTTCAGCACCGAGACAGAGGCGGTGACCACGCTGCAGGATGGTGAGAAAGCTGGGCCTGGCCTGGAGACAGACAGGTCCAGACCCCTTCCCTGCTGCTGCCTTTGCTTTCTTTTTCACTGGAAGTTTTGTTTTGTTTGTTTGTTTATTTTAAATAAATTTGACACGTTACATCTTATAAATTTAAGGTTTACAGCATACTGCTTGGATACCTTTATATACTGTGATACAATTGCCGTTGAAGCGGTGTTTATCTCATTACATCACTATAGAGCAATATTCTTGACTGCATTTGTTACGCTGCACAGTCGAGCTCTGTGGCTTATTTACTACTCATTACAAGTTTATGCCCTTGAACACCAGCAGCCTGACTGCCGCTGCCTTTGCACCCTGAAACTCTGGCCCCTAAAGAGAGGCCCCACTTTTGTCTTGAGCCAGAAGGGATCCCCCATGGGAGCAAGGGAAGCTGTGGGGAGCAGCAGGATTCAATTAGTAACAGGCAACTCGGAGTGTTCCTGTGAGGCCCTGGCCGTAAATCAAGACTTCAAGGGCTTCCAAATGGAATGGAAGTTTCTTTGATTGGCTTCCAAAACCCTTATAATCCATTAGCATCCTAGAAATTGAATAATTTATAGGGTCATTAAAAATAAATGTCAAAGGGTAGCTGGGTTTTAAGAGGTTTCCCCCATTTTCCTGCTTCGCAAGCCATCCCCCAGTGTTGCCATTTGACAAAAGCACAATGAAGTGATGGACGGGAGAGCCCTAAAAGCTCCCAGTGGTTTTTCACCCCCTCTGTTCTACCTCAGAGGAGTTGGGCCTGAAGATCCATTGTGATTTGGGGTGACTGATCCTGCCAGGAGACAACACCATCAAACTCATCCAGCAGTGACAGGCAGACTTTTAGGATGGAAAAGGATTGATACTGCGAAATAGGCCGACGCTCAGATCTGGGACCGCAAACCTGAGCACTTAGTTGGCCCCACAGTGCTTTGTAATAATTCCCCAGACTCAGCCCAGAGCACTGTCTTCCCCATTTAATGCACCAGTGGAACCATTTTTAAACAAATCAATCTCTAGCCAGCTCACCCCTCCACCTCACGTCTTCAGTTCTGCTCTTTTTATAATCTGAGCCTTGAGGGTCTCTAACAAGAGACCTCAGGTGACCTGTAGAACCAGCAAAGGGTCAGGTGGACCCTTCCAGCTCTCAGCAGTGTGTAGAGACTGTTGTGCAGCACACACAGTGCTCCTAGAGACCAGGGCCTGCTGAGGCCATGTGTTCCTGGTCAGAGGGACGGGACGGGACAGTGCTGGCCTCAGCCTGCACGGTCCAGGCAGGAAAGCGAGGACCTACCCCAAGTAACTGGTTATCTTCTGTGTCTCCTGTTTTAATCTTACATCTGCGGCTAAGCGCCAATTCTTAGAAAACAGAACAAGCTTCTTTTACTGTTGGGTGTCTCTAAGGAACTGACAGGAGAACAGGACACATAGCCTCGCTTTGCCCTACATGGCTCAGTCAGAGGGAGCTTCTCCAGGCTTCCCAAAGGCCTTGCTTCCTCCTTCTGTATTCAAAGCCTTCCTTCTGCTGCACCTATCTGGCATGTTATCTTCCTTCCTGAGGTCTGAGGCTTCTCTTTGTAGGTGATTTGCATTGTATTTGCCTTGCCTTGCATTGTTTCCAGATTGGCAGGCAGGACAGACTCTAGGGTTTAGGGTCCCTGGGCTCCAGGAGCATGTGTGCAAGGTGTGCTAATAAACACGTTCTTGTTAATGTGATTAGGGTGTTGGGACTGCCTGTAATTGCAATCAGCATGATCAGGAAAGCTGGACGGGACCACCTCTGACCCAAGACAGCACAGCAAGAGGTGCAAGGGTGTGGGGTTGAGAGCTGTGGACATGGAGGATGGAGAGGGCTGGGTGAGACCAATGCAGGCATATCCCAAATTACCTGGTAACCTGGCAAGTGCAGAGGAGGCTCTCTGAGCAGGTGACCCAGCAACCCAATTTTTCAGGGTGAGAGGAGTGGGGATGCCCTGCCACGGGGTGGGGGCAGGTGGGGAGAACTTCCTAAATAGTTCAGTTCAATGACCACCTTCGAATTTAACTTGTGTTGCCCAGGAGCTTACAGTGGGGAGCTGTCAGAGGATCAGTTCCCTGGGCTAATGTGGGACTCTGCAGATACTGGAACAAGGGGCTGAGAGGGCACAGAGGAGCCCACTGGACCTGAGGGATGCCTGAAACAATCTTGGTTTCCAGAGTGTAGGACTTTTGCCATGAGCAGAGATCAAACTGACCTTGTCCCTCCAGAGAGCAGAGCAGAACTGCATATCTGAAAACAATGGCAAGTAGCCCTTCAACCACCAGGAGCCAGCCTCTTTTCATGATGGCCTTGCCAGTGTGTAAAGTCAAGGGCCTGTGGCCAGGCTGGATCACAGAGAGAAATCATGCTGCCCTAAGCACCTCAAAAGAAAGGATGCTCCTCTTCAAGGGGAGTGGAGGTGGTACCTACAGGCAGGCTCTGCAGGTAAGGTTCCCAGGGCACCACACTGTCATGAGGGGTGATGAGGGGTTTGCAGTTGAGAGGCCCAGGCTCACTTCCGACTCACTTGTGTGGGTTTGTCTGCAGAGATAAATTCAGGGACATTATCTTGCGACCATCCATTTACAATTGGGTCGCTTTTGTCCTGGGCACTGGCATTACAAGTAGGAGAAGAGAATCCATAGGGAAGAAGGAGCCAGCCAGGCTGTTGTCTTATCTACTTTCCAAGCTTAGGGCTGGCCTGGCCCCACCTCCTCACTGGAAGCAGGAGGGAGCTGCCTAGGAATGGTGGCCAAATGGACCACATCTTGTAACCCTGTGTACTTCTTTGGATTTCAGTTCCAGGAGAACCTCCAAGTTTCATCTCAGTGACACCGCACACCACCTCCTCTGTTCTGATCCAGTGGCAGGTAAGGACCTGCGGGAATCTACTGTGCTTAGGGAGTTACTTTGTGCTCATTCCCTGCTCATTCGGCTGGAACCTGCAGGCTGGCCCTTGCTGGGCTGGTGTTTAGGAGGAGCACAAAGAAAACATCCATATTGGACACAAAAACTGGGAGGAAAATAGTGTCCAACTAGGATTTCGAAGACTCGGAAAACATGGCTGACATGCACGTGCAGAATGAACTTGTCCTCATGTCATTAAGGAGGCACCAGCAAGGGCAAGGCTGGACAAGGGCATCAGAGGGACTGAATGCCCAGGAATTTGGAAAGAGGACAGAGCAGGGCTCCTAGGAGCAATGAAACCATAACCTCTGAAGTTATCTCTCCTGTAGAAATCACTTTCAACCACACAAAATATCTGCAGGATTCCATGTATCTTCACTAATGTGAGTCTTTAATCTTCAGTGAACAGTGAGTCAAACCAGGCACAGTTTTCTCAATAATCAAATAATCCTTGGTGGGGCACTAAACAACACTGGACCTTGAATGGAACATGGCTGTCCTCTCTTTGCTTTATTTATAATTTTGCATGATTTTTGCTTACAAGGAGGACAAAAGTAATAGAGGGGCAAGTTAGCCAGCCCCAGGGCCAGCCCAGCTGCCTGTGGGCCAGCTCTAGGGGGTTCTCAGCCAGGGTCAGGTGCTAGCAGGGCTAGATCTGGCCAATGGCAGTGGCCAAGGGCAGTGGTGAGAGGGAAGGGCAGTGGTGAGAGCCTGTTGGAAGCTTCTGGTCAGCAAGGAATTTCCTGAAGCCAGAAGAAAGCTGCCATCTCTGGGATGAGGATGGCAGGGTCTAGAGCCAGTGGACCATGGGGTGAATTGGAATCAGGGAGTTAGAAAATGAATGACTAAATACAAATGATTGTTGAATATTAGAAGTGTTTGGGGTCTTTGCTTAGAAGTTTAGTGATGTTTTTGTGACAAGAAATATGCCACAGGAACTAAATTCTTATATCAATTAGTCTATGGTCAAATTGGTTTCATTATTCATCATTTCACTTAAAGTGACAGTTTCCAAAAACCTATTGATGGTGTTAAGTAAGGACTAACTATTAGGTGAATCATAGAAAATTTGACCATTATTCAGTTGGGGAAGTGGCCATATTTCACGTGGTTCAATCTCACACAACCTGATGGGGGACAGCATTTTAATCAGCCAGGTTCTGGTAAAAGGTCATAATCTCCTGCAAGTATTGATGGAGTAATTGGGGGGCCACATCTTCATCTCTTCTCTATTGCTAAGTAACAGCTTCTGGGAGGTGATGGAATCTTTAAAGGAGATCAAAACACATTTCCAGATACCCTCAGGTGAAACTGGAAATTCACTCCATAGCACTGCAAGTTCTAGCTCCCCCAGCATATTGGGCTTTGAACTGGGAACCAAGAAAGCAGAGCCGACTCCCACCTCCTCTCTCTGATCCATAGCTTCTCTCACTCCAGTTTCCTCATCTGTAAAAATAGGAGGTCATAGGTGACCTCTGAGGTCTCCAAAGGCCTTTGGTCCAAGGCCAGTTAGAGCACCGCACTCTGACATCCACGCAGGTCTTAGGTGGGATGTAGGAACTCATTTCTGACCCTCTATGAACATAATCAGCCAAAAGAAGATTGTTCTTTTATACTGTGCTAAATTTTAGCAGAAAATTAGCTTTTCCTTTGTGGTGCTCAGCTTACCAATAACTAGGTAAGCTCCTTTTCTGTAAAGGCAGGGCTCAGGGCTGGGATACAGCATCACCGCCAGAGAAGACGCTGTGGACGTGACACCAGCTATGGTGGGCGTGCCACTGGCCATCCTGCCTCCCAACCACTTGGGCTCTGAGCCCCTCAGTGGCAGTGAAACAACTCTATGAAGTGGTGGGGAGCGGCACCAAAGGAACTTGGCATATGTGTCCATCAGCTGTCCCTGTTTGGTGCCCAATAGAACAAACTAATTGCAAGAAGCCCAGAGCAGGAGGTGGTCAATACCATGTATTATAGAAATAAATGTCTGTCAACTGCCAGGCAATTGAAGTATAATTAAAATTATGAGTAATTTACTAAATCAGGGTGAACAGAACAAAGAGACTATGTTTAAATATAGATTTGCATTCCAAATGGAATGTTTCACCTGTAAACCTTTCTTTTTTTTAGTAATGTGTTTAAAAATGCTAACACTGACTGTAATTCAAGACTGCCGACCCATTTAAATAGCTCCTCTGTAGTAGCCTGTCAAGTTTGATTCTTCTTAGTGGGATAATCAATCTTTGCCTTTCACAGGGTCCAGTGCTGTTTGAAATCTAAGGATTTGAGCATATATTCTAGACAGTGGTGGTATTGTGTTCATACCAAGTACTGTTCATAATACACATTAGTGTTTCTGAATTGATCACAACATTTAAGTTGGCTGTTCTGAAACCTCCAGTGGATTGGACAGTCTGTCACTCAAATACATTTCCCCTCATGTTACTGCACATTTCTCTAAGTGGATTTTTAGGTTGTTTTCTAGTGAAGAAAGCATCCTGAGTGATGTATCAAGTCATGCAGGAAGCTCTCAGCAGAAGGTGACTCAGTGTTGTAACAGGCAACTTCCTAGGAGGAGCATTACGGTTGCATGAACAGTGGGGCAAGGCAGTGGGGCCTCTCGGGGCATATTTGAAACTTGGAGCACCTTCTGTGTAGGGTGCAGAGCATCCAGAAGTGAATGGGGTAGATTCCAGACCCAGAAGAGCTTTCCTTTAGTGGGCTGAACTCTACAATGCAGTGGAAAGACAGCAGAGGAGGAGGCAGAGGTGACAACTGAATGCATCTTGCAGGATGAACGGACCTTCCGCAGGTCAAAGGCAGGGAGGTGCACATCTGACACCAGAGCATGATGATAGTTGATTAGATTTGTACTTAAGTTCTATCTCTGTCTCATATTGGCCACAGGTCCCTGGGCATGTGTCAAACCCCCTTAAGCCCCAGCCCTGGGGAGAGATAGGAGCTGCCCTGTCAGGGTATGGCTGCTGCCCTCATCCCAGTCTGTCCTTATGTGAGCAGCAAGGAAGAAGAGTGAGCCTCATCACGGAGTCCTGCCTCCTCCCAACCCCTGTCCTTCCTTCCAGACAACCCCACTGCCTCTGTGAGACTCCCTGTCTTCATCCTTCCACATCTCACCAGCTCACTCCATTCTCCTACCTGTTTCACCAGGTGACCAGGCCAGATGTACTCCTACCAGGTCACCTGCATTTTCACAAACTGAAAAGGCACTCAAGACCCTCAAAGAGTCTGCCAGTAGACTTTCTGGTCTGCAGAATAAAGTCAAAGTAAAGTCATTTTTAGGTGGGGTGGCCAGTTCTCTGAAGCATCTGCCCATACAGATGGCCAATCAAGGATGAAAGAAGTATAGACAGGGAGTGAGCAAACCCAGCTCATTCCCACAAACATTGGTTGAGCACCTGCTGAGTCCAAGGCCTGTCACAGGTGCTGTGGAGAAGACAGAAATGAACCAACATGACCTTGCCCTCCAATCAACACCAATCAGAAACTATGGGCACAGGGGCGAGGGGAGGGGGTGCTGGTGCTGAGGGCCCAAAGAACTGATCTGCATGCAAAGGGAAGCTTCTCTTTGTTGTGGAAACAGTTGACAGTTGACGCTGGGAAGTTCAGCGACAGTCCTTAAATCTATAGTATGAAATTGTTGGCCCATCACCTCCAGAACGGTCCATGTGTTACATGGAGCTGTCCCACTGGTACTTCCCGGGATATACAGAGTCATGGAGGCCTCTTTATGAATGACAGATCAGCTTATTCCAAATCTAGAAAGAGAACGTGTGATTAAAGGCATTCAGAATCCCATGCAGACCTAGGACTCTGTATCAAGAGAGCTTGCCCTTGTGAGGCCTGGACCAGCTGCAGCTTTTACAGCAGCCTCTCTCAGGCCTGTGGGACCTCCAATCCCTTCCCTCTATCTGGAAGCCTCCTGCTGGGAGGGCAGTGCAAGGGATCTCTGGGCCACCAGCAGTGAGCCTGTTGGCACATGCAGAGCCATATCTGTGGCCAGTTGTGCCTGTGGGGCCTGAGGACTTGACCTCTTCCATTCACACCTCTAAAGCACCCTTCCTTCTTGGATAGAAGTACTTGTGGGCGCAGGATCGGTAGCCCCCACCCTCTCCCTCCATCTTCCAGCCCCAGGATACATGGACACAGATGCTGGCTGGGGTGTTAGCTGCCAGCTGGATAACCACATTTGGTTCCCACTGAGAACATTTTTGTTTTCCCAAACTCTTAGTTTCCTGCATATTTGATATTTTTGGTGAGTTGAATCCTATGCTCCCCCCTTCATAAGATCTCCCTAAAAGAAAATAGTCCTCACTGTAATCCTATCTCAACCAGCCTGCATCTGCAGAGCCAGACCCTGGCCTCTGCAATCTCCCTGCTGAGGTCCAAGTACCTCCAGTTGCCAGAGACATAATCTGAGGCTGAAAGGGAGGCTTTGAAGGGTGAGAGGCTGGCTGACACTCAGAGAGGCCCCGCTGCAAGACCATTTGATCTGCTCACTCCCTCTTCCTTTTACCCATTCCAGTCAGCTCAGACCTAGAAAGGGAAGCATGAGGTTTCTCATCATCACAACCCAGACCCCTGACGCTGCCACATCCTGACTCTCTGCCAGGATGACTGTCTGTCCGAACCACTAGGTGCACAGTCAGTCCTGACTAGAACTGAGCCTTATACTGGCTGCTCCTCCCCTGCCCTGCGGCCAGAGCCCCTCCACACCCCTGCCACCACTGCACTCCTGTCTAAGGGTCCACACAAGATGTTGCAGCCCCTCCTAGAGGGCCACTCTCACTGCTGCTTCAGCCCCCCATCTCCAGGGTCAGCTGGAAAACCCCCTCTTTGGGACATTTCTTCTGATCCTCCAGACTGCATGCAGGACTGCCTTTCAGTTACTGTTGATTACTATTCAGGAGACCTCACAGGCCGAAGAGATAGCAGATGCCAGAGGCAGGGCTGGGCTAATTTGTAACCCCCGAGCCGAGCCACAGGCTTGGAATTCTCATGTTACTCCACTGCTCTGCACACAGCTGTGGGGTGCAGTTGCGCGTTTGTCCTAGTGACAGATCAACTACCTGTCAACAGAAACCACTGTGGGAGGAAGGACTCTGATGAGATCTTGGCTGACACAGGTCCTGGAGTCAGACCCTGCAAAGGTTTATAGTGGGGTAGAGGCTGAGCCTTCCTTATTCCCTGGGGTTTAACAGTTGAATGAGCTCCTCACCTACCATCAGATCTTCCTAGGCCAGCTGACCTCACAGGTGCCAGGGATTGCAGCCTGAGGTCTGAGTTGGGCAGGAGGGGGTGGGTGTGACCTGGCAGGCAGAGAGGTCTGTGAGGAGCCCTGGTGGATAGGGACAGAGAGGGACAGGGTTAGACCAGCTGGTGGACAATCTGGAGTGGCCACATCCACTCTCAGAGTTCTGGATTTACCAGGCAACAGGCAGCTTCCTGGCCCATCTGCCTCAGTCCTGGGTTCATCCGAGTATTCCAGCTGGACAGGGATAGGATTCCAAGCCCCCTCAGATGGGCACTAGAAAATCTGGATGACAGAACGTGACTCCATGGCCTGGCCCCGGGCCTGCAACCCCCTTTTCTCCTTCATGAATGTGACACCTGTCTTTTGTTGGCAAACACCGGGAACCACCTATTACTGAGCAGTGACTTCCTCCTGACCAACTGGCTATTTAAACCTGAAGCGACCTCATCAGACTCTTCTTTGCACTGACTGTGGTGTCTTTGCAGCCTCCGAGGGACGAGAGCCTGAATGGCCTTCTGCAGGGGTACAGGATCTACTACCGGGAGCTGGAGGCTGAGGCAGCCTCAGGCAGCGAGTACAAGACCCTCCAGACACCATCTGCATTACGAGCAGAGCTCACAGGTACCTCTTCCGTCCTGGTGTAGGTACCACCCAGGGAACCATCGTGGATCCTCTCTGTACAGTGTGTGGTGGGAAGTGCCTGGCAGATCTGAGGAGAGGCAGTCCTGCTTCCCACTGAGCACAGGGACGCAGGGGTGCGCAGTGAGGCTGAGTCTGCCAGAAGGTCAGCAGGGTAGTGGCCCCCAGAAAGCTCCCTGTGTTTTGGGATTTCTATCCAGTGTGGGGCAGGGGGGATGTCTGGGGAGGATTCATGGAGGAGGAGTCCTCTGAGACAGGTGGTCAGGGGAAAAGGATTTCATTAAGGACATGAAGGGAAGGTGTGACTTACAAGGGCCCAGCAAGATGAAATGGTCTGAAGGTGGAAAGAAAGGAGGGGCTCAGGGGCCAGAAGCAGTGGGTTAGAAGTCAGGAGCACAGTGTGAAGTAAGGTCCATGTGCCCCGGGTTTTACAAGGAGAGTTAGCCAGGCCCTCCAGAAGCTGCAGTGCTGCTCCCCTGCATGGAGAGTGTCTGGCGGGGAGATGTAGGCATGGCCAGTTGCAACCTGGGCCGCAATGGTCTGGCCCTAAAATCAGGGACAAGCTCTGCCCATCGGTCAAGGCTGCCCCCCTCTCTCCTCCTACTCTGGAAGGAGGGTTAGAGTTTCATTTCCTGACAAAGGGTATCACAGAAAATACTTTTTGGCCCTTGGTGTCCACATGTTGGAGACGAGAGCAGCTTCAGAAATGTGCTGCTCGGCGGCCACATTCTTGCTCTCTGCCACCTTGGTCTTGTCAGGAGGCTCTGTGGGGTCAGCCCACACGGGTCACATGTGCAGACAGGCAGCTCCCCAGGGCACACCAGAGCCCCTCACACTGGGCAGCGCGCTGCAGCTTGGCCCTGGCCTGGTATCAGGGGTAGTGTTGACCAAAGAAAACGGCTTGGCGGTCTCACCCACATGCTTGGCACAGCCCCAGGTGTCCCTCACTGATGCCAAACTATTAGCATCTTCCTGAGCTTTGGAGCAAAGTCAAAACAAGAGGCTCCCAGGACGTGCTTGGGTCAGGTTGCAAGTGCTCTTTGAGTTTGCTTACCTACCTGAGCACACGTAAGGGCTCCACCTGAGCACAGATAAGCTGTCTGTACCTGCCATAGGGAATCTGGAAAAGTTGCCAACCCGGGAGAAACTGATTTCTCTGTCTTCGCCGGTATTGCTTTGTGCTGTCGTGCCAGATACTAATTCGTTCCATTTAATCAGAAAGGTGAGTGCATGCCCCACCCCATCAATGGACCAGGGGCTGTTAATGAAGTGGGGTGACCCCCAGAGAGTTGGTAGGAAGTGTCATCTGTGGTCCTTATGGGCCTTGGACAAACAGGGTGGGAGCCAAGCAGCTTCCCAGCCAGGCCCCATCTCCGTTTCCTCAGCACATCATTTGCAGTAACTGCTTGCTGCATGCTAACTGCCTCTCTGCTTTGCTTACCCTAATAGCCCAAAGCAGCTTCAAGACTGTGAACAGCAGCTCCACATTAACGACGTATGAATTAACACGTAAGTGCACACCGCCTTCTAGCGCCTCCAGCGGGAAGTGGCCGTGACGGGGAGCAGGTCGGGGCCAGCGCCAATTGGCCTCTCAGTGGACCAAGTGAAAACCAGCTTGGATTAATGGCTTTAATTCCTGGAACTCACCCTCTCAAACGCTGCTCCTCCACATGCCAGAACCAGGGAGACAGGAAATGAAACTTCTAGAAACAGACACCAGGAAGGGGATTTACTAACATCTGGTCCTCAAGTTTGGGATAGTCGGATTGGGCAAGATTTCCTCGCTGGCTGTCTTTGACCTTTTTTAGTCTTGTGTGTGTGTGTGGTAGAATACACATAACAAAATTTACCATTTTAACCAACTTTAAAGTGCCCCGTTCAGTGGCATAAAGTATATTCACGTTGTTGTGCAATATCACCACCAGCCCTCTCCAGAACTTTCCATCTTCACGAACTGAAACACCGTAAACCCCATGAATACTACGGACACCATAAACACTAACTCCCCTTCTGCCCCCTCCAGCCCAGTCACCTCTGCTCCTGCCTCTGTCGACTTGTCTGCTCTGAGGGCCTCGTGTAAGTGGACTCATACGGGGTCTTTCCTTGGTGACTGGCTCAGTTCCCCCAGCACAGTGTCCTCAAGGTCCCTTCATGGTGAACCAACATGTCAGAATCTCCTTTTAAAGGCTGATAATAGTCCTTTGGGTGTAGACACCCCATTTCTTTATATTCCTCCTCCCTTGGACTCCAGCTAAACCACCCCTTTGACTCTTCACTAGGGGTGGGTTTCAAGGTCCAAATGCAGGCCATGGTGATTCACCCCATTTCAGCCTCCACCACCCCCTGCAGACAGTCCATCCAACTCCCTGTGGCCAGGATAGGCTTCAGCTATTTTCGTTCTGCACTGAGCTGTTTCCCTAAATATTGCTTTATTCCCCTATCTGCTGGCACCTCTCTCCCATCCTCTGGGGCAGAGTGCTTCCCAGAACCAGACACTCCCCAGAAGTGAGCAGATGAGCTGTGTGCAGACCAGGTTCTAATGATGAGGGTTCCTGGCTCCAGGCCTCCCATCATGGGTCATGAAGAATTAGAGGGGTGACCCACCCACACAGCTGCATCCTCATCCACTCCTGCTTGTCCAATTGTCTCCCAGTAACCCCTCTCCTCAGGACTTGCAGCCATACATTCCCAGATTGAGACTAATAAGCCCAGCCTTACAAGGCCCACAAGGCAGCGCAGCTCTAACACCAGTGAGGGTGGGTGAGGCTGAGCTCCGACTCAGCATGTGGGCTGAGCCTTGTCAACATTTTTGCAAAGCCTGTGGTGGCAGGACCTTGTTGGTCTGATTCACTGAACCTTCGCTAAAGTAGTAGCTTACCAGGAGGCAAAATTTACAGACCTGGCTGAGCCATCTTCACACCATTCACCCACGTGATCACACATGCACACTTGGCCTCGGGAAAACTGATGAAGCAGCAGTAACCAGCGCGAGACCCTTCCTGAACTTTTTGGTTTAAAGGCCAGGTCCTCTCCCCGTGTCTGTTAGTATGACTTCCTCTCTCAGCTGCCTGCCCTGTGCACTCTCTGTGTGACTGCACACACCTTTTCTTCCCAGGACCTTGTCGTTCAACCTTGAAGACCTTCGGTTTGTGTATTTTTTTTTTTTCTTTTTTAACACCAGTGTCCTTCTCCATCTATTCCTGTCTGTAAGGAGAGATTGTTGGACCAAAAGGCAAGCCCAGATCAGGTTTTGTGACCTTTACCAGAGGCGCTTCTGCTGCCTGTTCCCTGAATGCAGATGGGCCAAGTGTCTGCTTCACCCCAGTGTGGGTGCTGAAGCACCCCCAGAGGAGTGGAGCTGAATGTGGTGTGCCATGCCCTTCACACACTCCTCTCAGAAGGGAGTCTGAGTATTTCCCCTGCGTCTCCTCCAAGCACAGATTCCCTGGGTATGATTCAAGAGGGAATGTTCTAAAAATAAGGGCCACCTGGGCGGGCTGACCACCGTCTCCTTCCTTCTACAGATCTAAAGAAATACCGCCGCTACGAAGTGGTGATGACCGCCTACAACATCATAGGCGAGAGCCCGGCCAGCGCGCCTGTGGAGGTCTTCGTGGGCGAGGCAGGTAAGCGCCCAGCCCACCCATGGGCTGAGGCTGCCAGGTGCAGTGCTCAAGTCTTGCATGTCCCGCTGTGTAAAACATGTAACAGGTGGGAGGGGAGGTGTCCGGTCAATGCTGAGAAGGCAGGCTCAGCTGGAACCGCCAGGTTTGCTTTATCTGGAGCTGTCGTGTCCATCAGCGGCTGGACAGTGTGTGTCACCCCTGTCTGGGATGTTGGCTCTTGCCCGCCTGCTGTCCTGGATCTGGCAGGGGCCCTCAGGCACATTAGCCTAACCTCCTGGAACTACCCCTCCTGGGTCCCTGGTCAGCCACAGGGCATGTTCTACCCCTTTAGAGAGCATGTGTCCCCTGAGTTTGTTTCAAGAACTACCCTCTCTGTGGGGCTAATGCACTGGGAGATGCTGTGTTGAGCTCTGAGGCCCAGTGGGTTCTTCCTCCCAGGCCCTGTGTATCCTCTGGCAGGAGCTCCCCCACCAGCACCCCACTCTCCTCTTGCTGACTTGTGTTCTCCAGAGGGGTGCACAGTCTGGGGTTTCTGCTTGGATCTGCAGATGCTTTGTCAGAAATGGGTGCTTCTAGCTGGGAATACATGGCATTCCCTTGGACAGAGACCCAGGCTTGCAGGAGGAAGGAGGTTCGGGCACTGGACCAGGAAGCAGAGACCTATGAGACCATTTGCAATTCGGAGAGGTTACTATAACAAATCAGTCAGCACTGAGGGTCTTGCTTAGCAGGATTTTTCTGGGCTGGTCAGGCAATGTTGTCAACAAGTGATGATGAGTGACATGCGTGAGCTCTGGAGCATGGGTTATGTTAACCTCTCTCTGCACAGAACTCTGTCCCAAGGGGTTACTTAGAGCAGATGGCGTAGGCGGCCAGTATTCTAGAGGGGGATGGGCCTGCCACAAAAAGATCCACACAAGGCACCAGATGTGCTGTCTGTAAAGGTGGGTACTCCTGTCCATTCCGGCACCTGGACCCTGGATGGCCACCACGGTGGGGCCTGGTCACGAGGTGGGTGAGGGGGGTGCATGGCTGACCAGCTGGGATCTGAAATACTGAGATCCTGTCAGTCAGCCTGCATCCCAGAGCCAGGAGTCAGTGTCTAGGGAACTCAAGGTCCTTCAGGCAGAGCCTTAGAGAAAAGACCTGGAGCCTGGAGGAGAGACTGGCCAGACCCTAGGGAGCCATGTTGGGTCAGAAAAGCGACCATGGGCTTGATGCCAAGTTTTCAGCTCCAGTTCTGTATTGTTTTGTTTGTCTTGCACGGTAGTAAAATGCATACAGTATAGAATATGTCATCCTAATCCTCTTTAAGTGTGTGGTTCAGGGACATTAAGTCCATTCACATTGCTGTGCAGCCATCACCACTATCCATCTTCAGAACTTTCTATCTTCCCGAATTGAAACTCCATCCCATTAAGCAGCCCCTTTCCCTCTCCCAGCCCCTGGCAACCTCTAATGTACTTTCTGTCTCTATGAATTTGCCTATTCTAGATATTTCATATAACTGGAATCATACAATATGTCCTTTTGTGCTTGGCTCCTTTCACTGGGCATCGTGGTTTTGAGATTCTTCCATGTGGCAGCAGGTGTCAGCACCTCATCCCTTATCCTGGCCGGGTAATACTCCCTGTGTGTGTACAACACATTTGATTTACCTGTTCATCCAGGGTGGACGCTTAGCATGTGTTTCCACCATTTGGATTTTATGAGTAGAGCTTCTATGAGCATGGTGAACCACATACTATTCAGGGGTGATGGGCAGATACTGAACCCCCCAGGTAAAGGTGGCTGCAGCCCCATGAGATGCTGGCTCTCCTGCTCCCCTGGGACTTCATAACTCCCTGCCCTCTTCACCAGGGGTCTCTGCTCCTCCTCTTCCCTAGTGGCCTGTCCTCCTATCCCATCTCCTTCCCCGACACCCACTCCCCCATGAAGAGTGACTGCCACCAAATCTCTGGCCTTGAACTCTTGGAGCCTTTACTACCCCCTAGAAGAAAAAGGAAAGTTGTACCCATCATGCCAAAGCTTTCTGACCCTACACACAGGAGCACCGAATAGCAGAGCCTGCAGAGCTTGAAGAGGAGCTGGAATAAGAGCAAGCACCCAAGAGCAGCTCTGCAATGTCTCAGGAAATTCACTCACAGGCCAAGTGCCTGGAGCATTGTCCACCCTCCCACCCTGCAGATGACTCCACTCCTGCCCCAGGGCCTAACCTCAGGGCTTCTTCTCAGAAATACCCCCTGACACCCTCCCTCGAGGCACTTCCACATGTCTTCCTCTGTATTGCTCCCTGGATACTTTGTGGGAGACCGCTCGACTTTCCATCATGACATGAGCCTATCCTCTCTTTATGTCTGTCTTTCTCACTACACCAAAGTGGCCCCACATGCCTTTTCTGTCCTCCAAATATAGGTTCCAGAAATCCTATGCGGAGATGGGACAGGAGGGTGGCCATGGGGATCCTGTGCCCTGGGGCGTGCCCCACAGATAGGTCCTCCCACACACGCCAAGATGACGGCAGCTAGAATCGCTGTCTGGAGGTCTGCACCGTAACCACAGTGCCCACACTTAACTTTTTCTGCTCCAGTTACTGTGTCCTGGGCTTGTTTCTTCCTGGCACTCCCTACAGCAGGGGAAGGGCAGGGTGCAGGCAGAGGATGGGACTACACAGCTCCATGGGCCTGTAGGGCCCAGCTGGTGGCAGCATCTCAGGAGGCAGAGCAAGCCTGCTACTGCTGTGCACACCCTGCAATTCCCCAGCACCAGATCAGATGGGGGGAGGGAGATAGGAGGGAAGGAAGCTATACACTCGCTTCTTCCACCATCATGTGGGTTGCAGCCTTACCAAGAGACCCCAGAGCCCCTCTGGTCCCCAGGCCGGGTCTCCTGTTCTGTCTGGAAGGCCCTCCCTAAGGCTCCTGAAGGTGGTTGTCTCCTCCACCACTTAGGAGTCCTGCGGCCTTATTTCTATACACCTCTCCTTGCTCCAACTAGTTTGGGGTTCCAAGCCAGAATTTAGACCAGAAGGGGTCCCTGCATTCAGTTCTTTCTGCTCCTCTCTCTTTCCCCCATTCCTGTATTAATCCAAACATCTCACACATTGGGCCTGGCAGCACCCAGTCCTGCATTTGGGTTTCTCAGCTGTTGTTCAGCCTCAGCATGTTTCTCTGTCATCTGTGTTTACACTGCAGAGAATTTTCTGGAAGGAGGATGCCCGTGCTTCTAGCATTGCTGCCAGTTAGTTGTTATCATTACAGCCTCTCATCTCACAGCCCAAGTTTCCTGTTGTAATAATTTCATTCTGACAATGAGAGGTGCTGCTAACAAAGCCTCAGAAAATAAAATTAAATTGGGCTAATTTCTGTTCACTTGGCTACATGCTCCATAGTATTACAAACCTAGTCAACATTGATGAAAAAAGACATTGATGAAAACTAGGACAAAACTGTGGTTTCATGAGGGGACTCATCAGTCTGAGTGTTGGCTGTGCTCGCCACCAGCTGTGTGGCTATAGGCAGGTCACTTAACCACTCTGAGCTCTAGTCTTCAGGCATGATGGTGCCAAGGGAAACTCTGTGAGCTAGGAGTAAGGACACAGGTTCTTATCCCAAATCTGCCTCCAACTCATCTGTCTTGCTTACAAGCTCACAGGATGAGAGTCCAGAATGTATCTGGACCAGGATTCGTCAGTATTAGTGGGTGGATGAATGAAGAAGCCCCTGGGCAAGTAGCTCAATTTGTCTGACCTTATCTGGAAAATGATGAGGTCCCTTCTAGTCCAAATATATGCAATTGAATCTGTTTTACCTCAAAGAGAGTGATTTTAAAGTCCTTATTAGATTTACATATTGGTAAAAACAGTACCTTGATACAGACTCCAATTTGCAGGAGAAACCAACCCAAACAGGCTTAAGCTGAAACAATCATTTATAAACTCATGTAACAGAGCAGTTGAAGAGTCTGGATACAGCTTCAATCACGGCTGGATCCAGGACCCAACAAACTGGTCCCATGTCCCATCTCGGCACCTGTCCTCTTTCTGCTTGCTTCCTGCCTTAGGCTCTTCATCGAGGTAGCTCTGCAGTTAAAGGCAGCAGAAGGAGAGCTTCCCATTTCCAATAAGGCTTACAGTGGGCATGCACTGGCACTTAGCCTGCTTTTAGTAGCACCCCCATCTGCAAGCCAGTTGCTGTGGCCAGCGGCCTGAGGTCCCTGAGCCAGGGGATGATGTCAACTCTACTTGGACCACATGCACCAAAAAGGAGGAAAGATCCCCAGGGGACAGCCAATGCCGCTATCAGTGTGGACTCTGGAGCCAGGTGTTCATGGCTCTGCTGGGCCTTAGCTGTGGCTGCATCTGCAGGAAGAGGAGAGGTGCCCAGGAAAAGGCAGGCTGCCATTGTGGGGCACACGACGTGGGGCTAATGGGGTAACTGTCGTACTCTATGGGGAAGGGAGCAGCAGAGACATAGCACAGAGCCGTTACAGATTCCCGCATAGAAAGGGACTGAACACCAGCGTTGGGCGGGTCACGGTCTCCAAGACCTGGGCATATCTTAGCTGGGATCCCTCACCAGGTCAGCCTGTCCTATTTATCCCGAACAGTCTTGCAAGGGAAATGCCACCAGCCCTTCTGAATACGAACAATAACTCCAATAGGGGTCCAGACACTTGGCCCAGAACTCACCTCCTGGCCGGCATAGCCCTCACTTCAGAGTTCACAGCCTGGCCTCACTTCAGAGTTCACGGCCTTTCCAAGTGCAGCTTGGAAAGTTGATCCTCTGTCAGGGGCCACGAGCAAATTGAAAAGACTGCAGAAATGTGAAACCCCCTCCCCAGCACACTCAGGCGCTCCCTGTGAGGCCAAGAAAGCAGTAAGGAGAGGACTGCTAGGTGGGGAGTGGGCCAGGCCGTCCTGGGGCTCCTTTTGCTCATCTGTAGAATGGGGGTGCATGCCCAGGACCCCTCCTCCACTGGGAGACAGATGAAAAGTGAGA